ACTGGTCGTGTAAGTTCCAGGAAAAGATTGGTGTGTGTCAAGTTCCCTATGTCACCTTATTCCCTGATTAGGCCGTATATAAGAATAGATTCTGGCTTATGATTTAGCTTGAACTGCCCAGGTCCAAGCATGGCCTTTGGTCGCAATGCAGATCAGAGTGTTAAAAAGGATTTTCCTTGGGAAATCATTATTCATCAAATTCTACTTCATCTATAAATCGCTAGCTTGAGACCCAGCGTTCACGATAAGAACGAGAAAGAGCAAAAAAAGCATTTGTTTTGGTAAAAAAAATTCGAAAAACTGGAAGGGATGCACGCGTTCCAATTCCCGCCGGACATCTGTCACAAATGCTGGCGGAACACCTTCACTTGGTTCGCGTAGTGCTATCACTAGGAACTCTTTTTAACTTTTGCCTTATTGGGCCAACATCTCATACTTCTACAGCATCCTATTCTGTCGACCGTTTTGTCTCGAATGATTTTCCAAATTTAATCTGTAAGATGGGAGTGGACCCTCTGCTTTGAGATTACTAGAGAAATCGAAAAGAAGAGCAATAAAGCCGTGACATTAGCCAGTAGGCGAAGCGCAGCGAATTTCTTAACTCACCCCTGGGCATGTTGAAGTAAGCGGGACTCGGCCGATTACCAAGTCTAGCATTCTGGCCTACTGCTAGCCCTTTGTTTTCACAAATCACAATTTGGGCGGGTAGATTGCATTTTCTTCTGGCAGGACCGTCGAATGTCAAATCGCAAAATCCATGAATCTCCCAATTCGTGAGCTTATGAATTAGCCTCAAGGTAATCGAAGGGAATTGTTAGTAGCGAGAATCGTTCGCATACCGACCATCATAATTATTGGGAGGGATGTGTTAGAGACACTTGAAACAGCTCAACAAAACTGATGGTGTATCCCAGGAATAAGCAGCGTTCAGGATTGATCAGTAACTTCTTAGTTGAAGCTGGTGGAGTTTTAAAACGCAACATGCCCTAGCTTCTATTGCAAGTGTTTTGGGACCTGTCAGTTTTGTGGTAACAGTAAAGGCTCTTCGATAATCGCATTGTGGAGCAATAAGTTTCTTGTAATCGGACAGAGTGATGCCATATGTTTGCTTATACTCTTCTCTCTTCTAACATCTCGAGCTTATTACTGTGATTCCCCTTACCTACTGGTCCTACCTTTCTGGCCAAATCAGTATTTATCGCCAGCAAATTGTCAACAAATGTCACACTTTGAATCCATTTTTATGTGACGGGCATTCTTATGAACTTTTGCCCCGGCCACACTGATATGTGTTCACTTTCAGCGCAAACGAGTGTTCACTTACGGAACACAATGTGTACACATTTGAGATCGAGGTGTCCGGACCATACGGAGAGCGTATGGTTAGCAGCTCTAAGGGCCAGTTGGTGTTGAGCGCCGGTCACGTTTTCTACGAGATGCTACAACTGGTGGACGAGGGTAATCGCTCCTCTTTTGTAATCGTTTTTGTTACATTCTTTCTCAGAAGTGAACATTGTTCAGTTTTTTTAGTTATTTCATTTATAGGTTAGATTGCCGTGAGTGGAAGGGGTGGGGGGCGGGTCGGTCCTACCGTTGCGACTTTTCCGAAATTTTTTACGACCCCCTCTACCAATCAAAAATTTCACGACCCCCCCCCCCTTCACCACCCTCGCCATCATGGTCGCTGTTTCTATAGTATTTAATTCTGAGACCAGTCGACACACCTAACTCCACCCACTTTTTCCCTCAAAACGGAATTTTCCCCAGCCTTTTTCACACTTTACTCACCCCTAACTTTTCAAAACACCGCATGAATTCTAAGATTACATCGAATGCGCCCCCCTCCCCCCGTGGGTACTTCTCGCAACATAGGATTGACCCTGGTGGAGGGAAAGGCAAGGGGAGTGGGAAGAAAAGAATGTGTACATTTTGAAGCTCTTGATCATAGAATTTCAGAGTAGAAAGGAATTCTAAGAAAGTTTTCGGATTTATTTCGATTTCAATTTCTTTTCTTTTTTCTCTTTTGTTTTTTCAAAACTCCATTCTGCTTTCCAACATTTCTCGTTCTTTCCCTATCTAGGTTTCAATTGAATTTTTATTTTAGGAGATGTTGTGCGATTTGTTGCGTTCTTTGACCAGTACCCAGTGTTTCGCTATCCTCCACGGCTAAAATTGCTACAGTTGGAATGCGCAAATTGTAAACAGGTAAATTTTCACTACCTCTTTTCCTCTTGATAAACCGTATAGGATTAGGTGATAAATAGTAAGAAGTTCAGGTGACTGTTTTATAAAACTGTCAGGTGGCCATAATTCACTTTGCTAGAAACAGAGTTTTTGACTGGTCAGTTATCGGAGTAAAGTCTTTTACGTAGACTGACGCGGTGTTTATCGTTCTGTTTATCCTCCGAATCGAGTCCTTGATACTTTCGCGCCTGATGGCTCTGTTTTTACAAATTTGCTGACAAGATGTCGTCATTACTAATTGATTGCTCACGTTGGGCAACAATTTTTAAGTCTTTAAGCTTAACAAATTCATATTGAGACACCAATGTCCTTATTTACGAGTCTATTTGACATTTCGAAAGGTTCACTAACAAATAAGTCGCTGCACTTTTTTTGACATTCAAGTGGTAAAACACTGGAGTGCAGTTTTTGTGAACCTGTTACAGTTTGTGGTATCCTTTACCTGTTAGAAGTGGGCTCAATCAAAGAGTCGTCGTTCACGGGTTGTCGATGAGGAATTTTGCCGTCCATGTAAGCGGATTCAACTAAAGAGTGTATTGGCTCGCTCTGATCAGTGTAGAAGGTATTGCGGTAGTGATAGGCTACAGCTGCCGGGCTACTCTTTCCTGTAGGATATCCCGGAAGCGTTGGTAGAAATATGTATGAAGTAGCTCTGGGAGACTGCAGTCATCTTCTCGCTGTGCATATAATAGGAGGAAAAATATAGGTTCTCGTGTAGAGGACTGGGAATCGGTAGTTAGTGATAAATCAGGTAATATTGTTGTGAATTGAATAAGTTCATTTATAAGAGTTGAAAGTCGGCAAATTTATACCTTATTGGTGAAAAATATCGGCTCTCGAGAAACCTCCTGAAAAAGGGAACAATGGCTAAACTGTCGGGTTGATTTTCCCATGAGTAGTTTTTTCTAAGCAGTTGTGTTATGCAAGAACAGTCACATGTACGCAAATGGCCCTTTGGTGACACCTTAACGAATTATTTGGGCTTTGCCACGCCTGCTCCCCCTAGCAAAACTTGATAGGCCATTTAAGCCGCTGGCGAGCAATGTCACGTGAAATCGCTAGTTTTGTTGTGCTGAAATGTACGAAATCAGCTCAGTTATCTAATTTCAGTTCCAAAAAGGACAGAACTCTCATCTTCGTCTGAAGAACTCGAAAATGAGGAAGACTGGATTGTGGCATCAAGTCTTCGGAGCCTTCAAATTCGGTTTTAATTTTGTTTTTGCACCTGTAGTAAGAATGAAATAGGGGACGAATAACATCCACAATTCCTTTTTGATCTTCTAATTTGTATACTACATAGTTGTATTCTTCCATGTTCCAGTATGGTGATGCTTGCGCTAACCAGGTTTGAAACTTTCTGTTGAGGTCCTTGGAGTTGATCAGATGCGACCTGCTGCTCTGGACGAAAATAATTTGAGGCTTGCAGCGGGGCAAATTGAGAATTTGTTACCACACGCCGTATTGGTGCAGCTGATGACCAGACTCCCTATTAGGTCCATCTAGATCTTTCAGCTAGTCCACAATATTAAAAGTAGGAATGCTTGTGGTGTAGTTTAGATGCGAGCGATGGAACCGTCTTCTAATTTTTGAAACCCTGCAAAACTTTTTGGTGTGCTACTCTCTTCGGAAGATTATTTGTGATGTATGGGATAGGAAACGAGT